ATCTTCCCAACCCTATGAGATACTTACTATCTATTACCCCCATTTTATAGATAAGGAAACAGGGCCTTAGTTACTGAGCATTAGGTTACTGCTGAGCAGTCTATGGCCAGTGAATGATGGTGTGGGGCACAAAACCTTGACCTCTACATTGTATCGATTTTCAATTAATTCATAATAATGGATAATATTTATTAAGTACTTACTATGTGCTAAGCACCTTTTTTGGTTTAACTCTTATTTACAAATTTAAAAAATGAAGCTCAAAGATTTTAGTTGCTTGCCTCAACATGACTAAGTTAGTGAGAAGCAGAGTGTCAAAGGAATTTGAAATAATACTTCATGTTTTCACCTCAGGAATTGGAACTCTGGTCCAGCTCAAAATTTGATTCAGGTCTTCTAAAACTCAGGCAAAACGTATGTGCTCTTACACCAATCTGCCTAATTAATACTTGTGTATATTTTCCCCTTGTGTAAGGTGCAGTCCCCTGGCCTTCACCTGAGTAATTGCAGTGATGAGAAATTCATAACTTCTTATGACTTATTTCACATGAATTACCAGTGGATTCACTGAAAGCTTAACATAGCTCCCGCCCTCTGGAGGTGTACATTCCCTGAGAACAGCAACCTACCTGTTGCTGCACATGGCCTGTGTACTGTTCAATGAACTCGGTGAAGCGAATATAGTCTGTGCCCAGGCGGCAGAGTCGATTCAGGACACTTGTTTCACTGGGATGGAGAAACGGGAAGTCCTGTGACACCTGGGGGAGAGGAAGGAAGCACTGAAAACACTGATGCTTGTGATTCACTGCATGCCAGTCTTTGAGGTGCTTCAAATGTTCCGTATTATTTAGTGTTTCCTTTCTCAAGATGCCCATTTAAGATTAGTTAAGTTCTGGATAACAAAAGTATTTCCAAACCACTACAAAGGTGCTGTTTCCCACCCCAACCTAATAAATTCTTTACTTGAATAAGTGGTAACACATGGTAAAGAATTCAAACATGAATTCAAAAAAGAATACAAAATGGTGTACATTAAAAATAAGTCAACCTCCTCTCAGAGATAGTTACTATACCTTATGCAATATTTCAGGCATGGTCTTTAAAGATAGGAGTTTTTTACTTGGTTGCAACAAAGTTGTCTTTAGCAAAGTGTTTAGCAAACTCCAGGGGTTTCTCAAACACATTCTTAGGATTTAGAAATTCTCTATGCAATTTTAAATCATGTTTTCATTTCAATAAAAATGTAAATAAATGTAGCATACTGTAACCTGTAAAAGCAACTTTGTAACTGGGCATATACATTTAGTATACATATTTTTATTTTTAATTTAAATGATAGCCTAGTACGCTATATAAGGTTACACAGCAGTTCAAGTAGAAAAAAGTAGTGGGAGAATGTATTCATTCAACCAACATTTTCAAAATAAATTGAGGCAAAATATACATAAGAATGACAATTTTAGCCATTTTTAAGTGTGCAGTTCTTGGCATTAAGTGCATTCACATTGTTGTGCAACCATCACCACCATCCATCCATCTCCAGAACATTTTCATTTTCCTAAACTGATACTCTGTACCCATGTACAAAGACTCCCCATAGCCCCAGGCAACCACCCTTCTATTTCCTATCTCTATGAATTTGACTACTCTAAGTACCTCTAATAAGTGGAATCATATGATATTTGTGCTTTGTGACTGACTTATTTCATTTAGTAGTGTCTCCAAGTTTCATCTATACAGTAGCATGTGTCAGAATTTCTCTCTCTCTATATATATATATATACACACACACACACACACACACACACACACACAAACACACACTACATTTTGTTTATCTGTTCATGGACACCTGAGTTGCTTCTACCTTTAGGCTATTCTGAATAATACTGCTATGAACATGGGTGTACAAATATCTGTTCAAGTCCCTGCTTTCATTTCTTTTGGGTATTTACCCAGAAGTAAAATTATTACATGTGAATAACATGTACCAAGCACACAGCGAGTACTCAATACATATAAGCAATTTTTTTTATTATTATTAGGACAGTTCTACCTAGTTATCAAGTGATACTCCCATTAAAACTGGCATTTTGAGCAGTGATTTTTGGCACAGTTTTAGAAAAGTTGAAGGTCTAGTATTCTAAAATAGCAAACAATACCAAAACAGTTATTGATACCATTTGGTACAATCCAGTAATATGAACAGACATTCTCTACATTAGAATAGCCATATCTGTAGCAAAGTTATTCAAACTCAATGTTGGCAATTTGGTTTCAGCAAAACAACAGTATATGTCACATTACATCAGTGGTTCCCAATGAGGGGCACTTTTGCCTCCTAAGGGACATTTGGTAATGGCTGGAGCTATGTTTAGTTGTCATAACTCAGGGCGTATTACTGGCCTCTAGTGAGCAGAGACCATGTATGCTGCTAAATATGCCACAATGCAAAGGACAGCCCCCACAACAAAGAATTATACACTCCAAAATGTCAATAATACCAATGTTAATTTCAATGATCAATTTGTTAGTTCTGTTTACTTTGTAAAAAATATCTACACTAATAAAAGAGAAAGATGCAAATTGACCATACCTTCGCCATGCCCACCAGCCAATCAGGAGTGAGCATGCAAATTAACCTCATCGCCTGGGTGGAGACTGACAGCAGGGAGGAGGCAGCTCCCAGCACAGCTCGGCCTGCTTGGCCATCAATGGGGCGACCAGGGAGCAGGCAAGCGCTGCAGCGACCAGGGAGCAGGCAAGCCCGACCGGCAGGCAGCTCCCAGAACGGCCTGTTTGGCCGTCCCTGTGGCGACCCGGAAGCAGGCAAGCCCGGCCCACAGGCAGCTCCCGCAGAGAGCAGAGAACCACAGGGAGCGGGCCTAAGCCATCAGTAGGACATCCCCTGAGGGCTCCCGGATTGGAAAGGGTGCAGGTCAGGCTGAAGGACACACACACACACACACACACACACACACACGAATTTCGTGCACTGGGCCTCTAGTTTGGTTATAAGAACAATATGCTTGAGTTTGTATTTAGCTTAGCATGTATATATACTCAATATTACAATAAGATGATTTTCATCCATAGTGGGCATTTCCGAATATTTTTCCCTTTATTCAAATGTGAAAATCATTGTTCTGCAGAAAGTATGCAATTACTGGTTTTGGTGGCCTTTTCTTGCACAATATCTGAACACTTACTCTGAGGCAGAAACTGTGCTAGATACTCCTGGTACATCTCTGAAGATCACAGTGGTCTTTGCCCTCATGGGCAATCTATGAGAGAAAAAGACTGGAAAGTCCTATAAGGGAAATAAACAAATTGCTTGGATAGAGAAGAATGGCATAGGGAGGATAGTTAAAGAGATGGTCAGAAAAAGTTTTTCTGAGGAGGTGACTTTAAAGCTGAGGCCTTAAAGAGGAAAATATCTGATTGAGACTTTTTTTTATAAGAAAGGAAGGCAGCTATCTTTCCTATACTGCTTATCTTTTTACTTCAGGTCATAAAGCACCCACAAATACTCCAGTACATTTTCCTCCTATATGCCTGGCATTGTGCTAGTTTTACAAGGGAAAATAAATAGTAACAAGAGGAACTGCTTTGATTTATAGGTTTTATAGACTAAGAATGTTTATTTTTCTGCTCCTCCCCAGCTATACTGCCAGTTCTCACAGGAATAGGCATGACTGTCATCAAACAAAGCTATATACAAATCTCGCTAATACCAGGACTAGCCACCATGAAATTCTGAGTTTGCTCACTTGTCACCTGGAGCTAACAACACCTAGTTACTGACTTACTGAGAGGGTGAGATAACATTACTGGAAGCAGGAGCAGGAAGGAGTAGTTGAGACACTGGAGCCAGACAGACCTGGGTTCCAGACCACGCTTGCTAATTACTAGCTGCGTGACACAGGGAGTTAATCTGTGACATGAAGGTGGGTGGTTAAGATTGAATTAGATAATGCATATAGCACATAGCCTCTCCTCCTCATACATTCCTGGTTACACGAAGGCCTCCTTCCAAATTCTCCTAGTGCTGAATTTCCTGAGAAAGGAGTCTTGCCAGAAACACATTCATTTTTTCATTCAACAAACTGGATGAACTCTTGTTGTATGTTAAACGCTATGTAAAACAAAACAAAACACACACACACACACACACACACACACCAAAACAAAAACAAACCCAAAACGTTATGTAGTTGGTCTAGCTTTCAAAATTTAAAAGAGTGCAAGCGTGAAATGGGAGAAAATGCCTCCCTCGCTTTCACATCCAGCTCCCCAGAAACTCTCGCTCAAATCTCAACTTTAGGCCGATGGGGGTCTCTCTCTTCCTTCCCCAAGGCGGCGTCATCACCGGCCGGCCCTCGGTTCCCCAGCCCGGGCCCAGCTCTCTAACCCCGCGTCCGTCCCACGCCGCCCCGGG